AGGTCACAGAGACAATAAACATTACATAAATGTCAGTGTGATAGTCACAGTAACAAAGGGATGTGCTCTTCTGTTGAAATGTTTGTAAGATGTGTACAGTTATTTAAAGGATTGACCCTTCGGTGGGCCAATAATAATGAGTTAATTTCTACATCTAACCTGACATATCTAAAAAGGGCTATGTTTGAGTAAGTACAGAGCTCCTGCTCTGAGAAGGACATCTGATTGTTAACGATGGTTAATCTGGAGTGACCAAAAATCTTCTTCCCTTAAGGGGCTGGGGTGGGGGGACAGCAGCAGTGCACTAACAGGATATTCCCAGTTCATTCAGAGACAAGAGCCATCTCAGAAAGTGCTTTCTAAAACTCAGAAAGAGAAAGCCTTACCAGTCAAGTGTGATGGTTCAAAAATGCTGGAGAGTAGTGTTTGTTCTCTTCTGTGGACAGTGAACCAAAAGCAATGAGCCATGTCTGTATCGCATGAATCAGATGGTGTATTTCTGCTTTAGAACACTGTATCTCAAGATTTATTTTTAAATGAAGTTGGTTTTGCTTGGGAATTATTTTGTCATACTTCAGGTTTTCTACTTCTAGCCTTATTAGGAGATAGTACAGCCTTCCAACACTTGAAAAATGCTCTGCAGATCTCTGTTTCTGTGGATGGGAACGGGGTTCAGATAAGTGAAGTGACTTTTCTACACAGCCTGGGTGCTGGAAGGCAGAAGCTTTACCATGCTGAAGAAAAGGAAATACATATCAACTTACAGTACTGATTTAGCAGGAGGCTTTAAACTCTGAATGTCAGATACCAAAACTGATGAACATTTTCTGACTTTATACCAAAGTATTCCTTCTAAACCAAATATAGAATCTTGCCCAGGGTGTAGCAAGCTTTTTGTAATTAACAAAATAAATTTTTGTGATGGATTACTGGACCCTGCAAATTCTCTTATGATAATTACAGATGCATCTTCAAAATTAGTCTCCTTCTTAACAGATTTTTTTTCAATTGCCTAAAACTGTTGAAAACATGAGTTATTGCTCTCATAAAGCATTTTCTTTTAATGCTGACTGCTGTTTATCATTTTAATATATACTAGCCAACAAAAACTGCATGGGCTTGGAAATTCCATTTGTTTACCTAAATGCTGTTTCTCTAAGTGGTCTCTTTGTTTTATAGCTTCAGATTAATTCAAGGCAGTCTGAAAACAGATTCTAATTTAGGTTTTGGCTTGTAAAAGCTGGGGGGAGAAATATGCAAGATAGCACTGAACAATGAATAAAACTCTATTTGTCGTGCCACTGTGTGGTAGGAAGAGCGCTTATGAACCTCTCTTGAAAGCACTGCATGCAGAATCTGCAGACAGAGGCCATGCTACTGTAAGTACCTTTTCCCTTGACACATTGTTTACATATGTTTTTCTTTGGTTGGATGCAAATGGTCTGCATTGCAAATCACCAAATGTCCAAAACCACTGCAAAAGTACAAACTGTACGCTTAAAAAAACCAACCCCCAAATACATCACCTACCTTAAATACTTCAGCAATGACTCAGGTAGGTCCTCCAAAGAACTCTTCTGTTCCCAGAATACATGATAAATTGTTTATAAAGGGCTTTGTTCTGATGGAGTAACTTTACAAATATTATGCAGTAGGATGAGACAGCCATGACGTGTTGAATGCATATGAGAGCTATGGTAACTGAGCTGCTCCAAGGTGATAAGTGTTCCTACAGCCCTACTTAACTTGAATTTGAAACTGGGTGATGTATATTATGAAAATTTCATAATCATAACCTGCCTCAAGCCTAGCCTTAACTATTTCCATGATGTTTTTTCGTTATCTTCCCTTCAGTTTCCTTAAGCCCTCAGCAACTTAATGTAACTTTGAGGTTGGCCATGCTTGTAGAGAAGGGCTAGGCCAGATGATCTCCAGAGGTCCCTTCAAACCTGTATTAGTGTCTCATTCTAAGCACTAGGCACCTGTACATTCAACACTTTGTTACTTTGGGTACCTTAGCAAGTATGTCATCCAGACTCTGTTAGAGTTTCACAAGTTGTGTTTTTAAGTAGCACCATTGTGTTCCTCTTGTACCTCCTTTTCCACAAAGATGCTGTTCCTCCTGCCAGGAATAATACTGCCTATGCAGTTCCCGTTCCTTGGCTGCAGAAGCCAGTTTTGCAGGAGGTGAGATTGAATCAATGAGAGTGCCAGCCCGCGGTCATTGGCCACCTCAGTGATGTGCAGGAGAATCTAATCTCAGCAGAAGTCTGGGCAGGGCTCTCTTAAGGGTGGAGGCTGCACTGATCCGAGAGATGAAGAACATGAGAAAGGGAAGCTGCGGTTAGCTACATTTCTGTGAGCCAACTGGAGCTTTAACAGATCTTCCAGACTGGTTAGAAAAAGATGAAATCCAAAGAGAGCAGCCAACAGAACCATAGCTTTTTCCAGGCAGCTCTCTACCTTTCTTGTCCCAGAAACAGCTTGTGATCTTTCTCAGAGTAGCAACTGACTGGAGCTTAGTTGGGGGGGGGGAATAGAGAGCACCCTGTGCAGACAGGGAGGCCATATGGGGACACCCTGCTTTAATTTTTTATGACTGTTGCTTGCTCTGGCTAAAGGCATAGAGGCATGGGGCAAAACAAATTGCCACATCCTTCCAGGTGTCATGATCTCTCCAGCAAGCAATTTTCAAATGTGACTACTCTTGTAACCCTTGCACAGCATCCTTTGAAGAAAGAAAGATTCTACAAAGAAGGTCCCCAAGACAAGCCAGCACCCTTGATTCCCAACCACTGCAAGTCATCCTTGCTCCACAGACTTTCAGGGTAACTCAGAGCGATAGAAGAGCAAGTCCTGAGGGCATCTGTTTTGGCAAGGGTGCTGCCTTTGCAGTCAGCGCAATAATCTAAATGTGTAGGTATAAAACCTCAGCTTTCTTCCCTCACAGCAGACCAGAGAAGCTGGGAGTCTTTAAAAAACTGAGGCATGATTCTCAAACGTGGGATAGATGTGAACACCGATAGTGGTTTTCCCTGGGCTTTACTGAGCCAACATTTGCAAATAAGTACTTATGATATAAAGGTATGTGAAGCCACCGGTCAGCAGGTCAAACCCTGAGGAGTTCCAGTATAGATCTTAGAGCTAAAATTGATCATGTCCTGCTGTCCTGAAGTCCTGCTGTGTCCATGCCAGATCAGCCTGCAACTTATTTCTGCAGGTTAATGCTCTGCCTCTCAAACTGCCTTTTCAATGGCTACTTTGTCCCCTGTCTTTACCAGCCCATACATATACAAAACACTTTGTGATTTGTCTCCAGAAGGACAACAGCTGTGACATGTTCTTCACACGAGAACAGATGCTAACTTTTCTCTAGCATCTCTGAATGACCTTTCATTTTGGCCATATTTTTCAAAAGAAACAGTTCATGAAGAGGGAAGGAGGGATTTTTTTTTTCCCCTACAAATAATCTAGCACCCCTTCTCTGATCGATGCAGATTATGTTGAAAATATCTCTTTGATATGTGTGATATAGTGCTCAAGAAGCTCCTTAAGTCATTTGCCCTGCCAGAGTATTGTTACCTTCAGAATCTCGCTTTACAGTAAGGCTTTATCTCTAGCAAGTTAAACCTGCTGTAACTGGAGTGCAGTTATCCCTTCTTCCCTTGGCTGGAAACCACCCATCAGCATAGTGGTAAATTTCAGGAGCGGATGATTACAACAATTTATTTTAACTTGTATTCTGCAAAACGCAGATCGATATAAGACTGAGGTTTCTGACTGCTTCCTCAAGCTAAGCAGCGTAGCCCTGAACCAACAGAAAGAAGGGAACAGGTAAGCAACTGAAACAAGATTGACTCTTGTTCGCTATTTGAGGATCGCATCTCTAAAAAATGATTTTAGAGATTCGCACCACAACCCTCAGCTGAACAGCTTGTCACATGCAACAACATGAGGGACTCTGGGTGAGGGTTAATTTCTTGTGTGATTCTGTCCAGCCTCTCCCCCCATATTCTGAATTATGTATTTAAAGAGCAGTCTAACAGATACAAAGAGAGAACATTGCATTAAAAGAACAAGCTCTATGTTACAGTTTACACCAGATGCATCTCAGTAGTCTGGACACAACTTGCAATAAATATCTCCATTTTGAAAAATAGCATTCTTTACTGGCAAACACTCTTCTGTAAACTGTACTAATACTGATATAGGCGCTGCTGCTTACATTTTTTAAGCTCTGTGCATGTGGTAGTCTTTCATACAAACTCCTGTATCCCTCTTCCTTTCCCTTTCAAAAGGTTAATCCCTTTCTATGCAGAAAGGCCAGTGTGGGATTTAAGTACAGGTTAAAAGAGCGAGGATCTATATTCAGAGGCTAAAGGAGTTAAAAAAATGCACTTTTCATTAAAATCCCTCTTCAGAGAGCACACCTTTCACTGAAAGGCACCGAGGGTTTGCTTGGATGTTTGGCTTCAACATCCTTGATTCCAAGGGCACAGCATTTTACAGGATTAAGCTTCACATTATGCAAATTACTCCATCAAGACTGATTCACCTCCAAGTTGGTTTGTGCCTTCAGGAAGGTATGATCTCATTCAACTGTAGATACTAATCTATTTCCCAGATGGCACACAACCTTGCATTCAAGAACAAAAGGCAGCTCAAATACAGAAGTCCCCCAGGAAATCTGCAAAACCCCACTGAAAATGGCAGTGTCTGAAAATGGCAAGTATCTCCCTGTTCATCTGATTGCTTCATCGCCCCATTCACTCCATTGTGCGGGATACATCCAGGTGCTTTACAGCTTGCTGGCCCGATGCATCCTTTAACTCAGTTGATCTGACAAGCCCACAACAGTACTTATCCTCCCACTGCTCTGTTGAGAAGGATATAAAATAGAGGCGCTTATGGCAACCGTTTCGGGTAAGAATCAGCAGCTCTGGTTCAAAGTTCAGTCTTTGTGAATACAAGCATGGGGCTGTACAGTGAGACGGGGAGGTTCACTCAAAGAGAACAATGTAATCTGGTTCTTGGTCCTCTTGGCCACATGGGTAAAGCAACAGCTCCTTCCCCAAGGAAGTGATGGGTTCATCCTGTTGATATAGGATACGATTAAACACCACCTCTCAAACAGACCCTACCTACCACAGCATCATGGGATGGACAGTAGTCTCCCTGCCTCTGATACGGCATGGACTTGTTCATCCTGCTGCATGAAACAGTTCAGTGCCCCGGGGAACCCAGGGGAGGACACACAAGGCTGACCGCTGTCTTCATAAAACGATGCCTGTGCTCAGTGCAGTAACCCAGTGACACAACTCTGGCAGTTCTCAGAAAAAGCTGTGCTCGTCTCGGAGGCAACCGCAACTTCTGCGGTGTGAAATGCTGCCCTGCCTCAAAAGTGCTGGAGTGAGGACCATGCAGCATGCCGGTAAGCAGGATGGGGTGGCTGTGGACCATGCTCCTGGCTACGTTGGTGGGAGCGTGGATCCTGGAGTGAGCACATGCCCTCTGCTCAGGCAAGCCCTGTTCTAATGAGGGAATTCCCTGATAGTACAGTCTCTGCTTCCCATCTCATTCTCCACCCTTGCAGCAGATGCATGGTGGGAGCTTGCCTTCTTTTGTGGTCACCTGGTGGGCGATAAGCAGAACCCACTAGAGCACTTCAGCAGAGTGGGTTCACCCTGCCCATGTCTGCTGTAGTGCAGGGGGTCTGTAGGCTTCTTTGCAGACTGTGGGCATGGCTCTACCTTTAATATCATACGCACAGCCAGGCTTTAAACCCTCTGGCTCTAGTACCGATACTCGTACAGCTCCTGCTTTCAACAATTTCAGCCTGAACTGCGAAACCCATGCAAGAAGCAAGTTCAGGTAGCCCAGGTAGAGCTCCATATAGCAAACAAACATAGATATTTTCCTCATGTCCAGTTTTGTTTAGCCATGTCTGTATTAGGCTAGGCGCTTATTTAAAAGACACACAGATTTTAAATGAACTTTAGGCAAATTGATTGTCCTGTCCCTGGGCAGATCTTACAGTGAAGGAGGGACCAATCCATCTGGCCCTCCTTGGAGCCCATGTAACTGCAGTCAGTGCTAGCAAATGCTGCTGTTGTTGTTGCAAGAACCTTCTTCCTTCCCTTCTATTTTTTATCTTTGCTCAGTACCACACTTTGCCTGCTTTGAGATCATAAAGAAAGGGTTTTCTGATTACCCAACTTGCCAGGACCTCACAACCACAGGGGAGAATCCAAAAAAAAAAAAAGGAATTTGCATGAATCTGCTGTCACCTCTCACCTTATCAGCATTTCTACCAAATAGTGTGTGAGTACCTTGAGCCCTGTGTGCAAGGTGTTCTGCGCACTTGAGGGGGAGTGAGTCAGGTCTAGATGTTTGAGATGCATTAGGTCATCTGAGATGTACCCATTAGGCTGGCATACCCCCCTGGAGCAGCACACAGGATACCCAATGGCAGCTAAAATGGGTCTAGTTGCCTACTATAAAACAACTAAATCTGTTCTTTCTTATTTTGAAGTGCCCTGAGGCAATTAAACAAACAGTTAATTAATGCATTGTTAGATGTTCACCTTGTGGTAGTCTACAAGGTCAGCCAGTGTTGAATGTTGTAGCTGGTCCACTCCAAGGAAGCTGTAGGAATCACTGGAGGCGTCAATGAGGAAGTGTTTACATCCTTCCACAGACCGATAGGAGAGCACGTAGCCTTTGATTTTCTCACTGACCCGGACCAGAAAACTCCCTGGTACTGTTTTATTCAGAAGCTCCTCTGCTTTCTTTGAGGTTAGGATACCTGTTCAAAACCAAACCACAAAACTGAAGGGAGAAAAGCATTTGTGCAGGATTGGATGGAACAGTTCTCACAAGAAATCTGCTTTACTGCTCTAAAAACAGTCCATGGCACTTCCATCCCTTGCACTGTTTCCTTGCCCAGCAGCCCGGGGAGAACAGTACTGCCATTGCTAGTAGCAGACCACGGCTACGTGCTACCTGTGCTTCGCGTTAACTGTTTCAGACTCAGCTGATGATGAATGATAAATGTGCAGGGCCCAAAAAGACAGTTTCTGTGTTACGAGAGAGAATGGCATTGCAGCGTGTTGTGTGTTGATCCCAGTACAGCCAGGGCGTGCAGGCAGTGATCATGGGTCCTGTCAGAACACTGTGCAAGCATTGAAAGCCCGGTTAGAGAGGATAAAGCTTTCATTGCTGCAGTCTCAGATTGAAGGCATTTCCAAAGCAAGGGAGATGGATGGGATTGTGATGACCCATTAGAAATGAGACAGAAATGTGATGGCTGATAAGCACATATGGAGGGAGAATGACCTGGGGCCAAGGATGAATGGGATGAGGTATGCCCAAATCTCTCTCACCCTGGTCCAAACAGTTACCAGGGGAATATGCATCCAGAAAGGCAGGGGTGGCATAGGGGTACAGGGTGTTTTGAAGATCTGGCCTCTGTTCTAACACTTTTGTCTTGCCCTTTGTCATAATGTTAAAGGAATTTAAACTACATTCACAGACACTTAAAATGGAAAACCTAGCTACCTTTGAAAAGCTCCTGGGCCCAGCCTGTGGCAGCAGCCGTGTTAGCAGAAACAACTCCTTAAAGAGCTGGGTTGGGGCAGAAACGCTCAGGACTCACCGTGGAACCAAGGCGCTATTGTGTCCGTGCTTTTCTGATAGCCAGCTCGGAGAGGGAATTGCTCCTCTTTGAACCACCTGATGATGCTTTCTTCAGTGGAATTGGAGATTGTCCTCTGGATTCCCTCTTTCCTGTTAGAAAAGACCACGGTTTGTGCATCAAGTTTAAACAACAGCTTTTGAGTCCACGGCAGGATTTACCTTTTGTTCAGGATGTTAAGAACAGCCCTAAACAGAAGGCTTACACAAGTGCAGCTGTCAGCAGTATTCTATGGTTTTCAGTGGACCCCTAGCATAGAGGATGTATGCACTCTAGGCTTAGGATGCTCTACTAAATAAACTTGTTACCCTCCAGGGGTGAAAAAATAAGCCTCATCACACCCTAGGCTGGAATATAGCCTAGGCTCTGTGTTTTTCCCTGAGGGGTGTCTCCTCCAGGCGAGGAGGAGAGCTAACCATTCTCACCTCAACCATCCCATGCTAGAGCAGACGAATCTCATCCCTTCTCCCCTCCACAGTGCACAGGGGTTCCCTTACCTAATCGCTCTCCTGTCTGCCATCACAGGAGGTAGGTGTGTAGGCTTTGGAGCGAGAGGCGGATACTGGAGTGGTCGCCGATCTCCTCCTGTGGCACCCTTGGAAATATCTGCCTGCTTCCCTCTGTGGATGCCTTGCAGTGAAAGCCTCCTGTAGTCGTCCCGTGCTTGCCGTGCAAGGGAGCGTCTCTTCTCATCTGCTGCCTTGGATTTCCGCACTGGAACAAAAAAGGAGTCCTACAGGAGCGAACAAGCAGGCAAGTTTTAAGCTTGCTGCCCCTTGTCCATCTTTCTGCTTGATGAAGTGGAAGAATAACCCATTTCAGAAGGTGGAAGAGGCACTCAATTGTGAGACCGTTTGCCACATGTCTCCCACCACTTTTGGGCACCTGCTACTTAACAGGGTCCAGCTTTTATTCCTTCAGGAGATTAAAAATCTGGGTTATTTCTGGGCACCAAGTCCTTTTGTACTTAAAGACTACTTGGTTTTCTTCCGGATGCTGACTCCCGGTTCAGCCATAGATTTCTGTAGTGCCTTTCACATGAGCCAGTGGGGGGAGGGCATACGGGATAGATACTGCTGAAATGACCCCAAATCAATCCTCTGAAGGATTTGAAAGTGCTGATCATTTTTTGAGGGTGGGAGCGGGTCTTACTGAAACTGTTAAGGGAAAAGGAGAACTTGGCTGGGTATTTTTTTTGCTGTAAAACTGCCTTGATTGTCTAGGTCCAGCTCATCCTGGAACCTATAGGAGTCACCAGCTCTCCGCTCAGTCTGAGTTAGGCTCATTCTTTCCTTGCTTTTGTAATCAGCTTTGGATTTTTTTTTATCGGTAGGAAAAATAAAACCCTTGTTCTGAAGTGGAAACAATTGGTAGTACAGCATTGCCACCTACTGAGCAGCAGGGGAGGAACTGGGAAAAAAAAAAGGATCAGGTTCTCCTTCAGGAAGTATTTGGCAGCAGCGATGGATGCTACTGCAAGTCTCATACTTTTTGCCATTTTCCTTCCTATCATTGGGATTCATCACATGAGACAGTGCAGCAGGGCTCTGCTTAGGTGGGATCGTGCTTGGATGACAGGGAAGCCCTTTTTAGTTAGGCCCTGTCACCCAGTATCCTTGTCCTCAAGAGCAATGGTTACTGCAAAGCCCTATGAAAGGCCAGCTTCTAGTTTAAAATTAATTATCCTGGCTATACTCCTGTGGTTCCTATTCATTGCATGTTTTAATATAGTATCCATAGGAAAAACTGTCAATTTTCCTGCCCGGCTCAAGTCTCAATGCTGTGTGGACTCAGAAATACTTCTGATAATGCAGCGCTGTATTTCTTGGCCGTACTCTCCACCCACCAACCGATCATTCAGGTCCAGTGTGGCAGAAGAAGGATTTTGAGATGACCCCACAGAGCCCTAGGATTTCTCAAGCCCCACAGGAAAAGGTCATCCTGAGATCTTACAGGATTCCTGCCATTCAGGCTCATTCTCATCCAATTTCTGCAGTGTCCTCTGGGTCTCCAAACTGGGGTGGCTCTGTGGTATGGCCTCCTGGGGGGCTGTGGTATCTTCTCCTGACTTTCTCCTCTGTGCTTCCTTCACCTATGAAAGAAACAGTATGCTCAGCTTTGTTCCAGGCTAGTTTTAACGCTGCTTTTTAGCTAGCCTTGAAATACTGGGAACTCCGTTCTTTATGGTGAATCCTTCTGATTTCAACATACTCTGTCTTTACTACAGGTGACAACAGAGGGAGTAAGGGAGAACAGTCTACCAGAAATCATCAGGAGCCTCTACCTGTGCTGCTCCCCAGTCTGCCAGCCTGGCCTGCTTTGTATCATCTAATCATCACATCGTACATGAGGAGCATGGCAACACTGGATAAAACTGGCCTAAGAGGTGAGGACATTCTTGGATCAGATGAGGCTCGGAGGCTGACTGGAACTCTAGGATGAAGTCTGAGCCCGACTCAATGTGTTAGGAGCATCCTAGGTTGCTACATACCTGTTGGAAGCCATGCTTCCTCACATGGCAGTCTGCCAGCATCTGGTGAACATCTCTGTTTTCCCTCTGGGCAGAAGAAAAGAGCGGTGAGAAATGCGGCGTTAGGACCATTGCTCTTTTTTGGAGGAACAGGTGTTTGATGCCGAAGCAGTGATGTGCCATTTATGTTAAATTTTTCCAACCTTCCCTGACAAACATTGGTCTTTTTCATCATATTAGGCCTAATATGCCACAAGAGGAGAACTCAGGGATGTCAGGATTGTCATAAGGATGCCTAGGTTTGCTAAATGATGCTCCCAGGGAGCGGTCCCTTCCCTCCCTCTCTCTAAAGCAAGCCCGAGCAGAACCTGCCGTCCACAGCTTTACCTGCCCATGCTTGTTTGCTGCTGTGGCTGGGGTGCTGCGAACCCCTGCTCGTCAAACTGCCCCAACTAGTTGCATAGCTCCTGTTTGCTCTTCCCTGCAAAGCAGTCGAGCTCCCCTGGCAGCAGTCGCTAGCTGAGACCTGCCTTTGAAGAAAACAGACCTGTCTTTAAGCAAACACCCACCCACCTCCCCGCTGGACCCAGACTGCCTCCCATGGCATGGGGAGTAGTGAGTTAACTGTACTATGCTGCTTACCAAAGACATGCTTTGTTTTATCTCCATCACCTACTTGGCTAATATTTAATACGAACATGGCTTTCCTCTTTCCCTCTCCTTGACAGGAAACTAGGAACTACAAATGTGCGTGAAGCAGAGCGTTTTCTTAGGTCAGTCCCCAGTCCCCCGCAGCAGACAAAGCACGATGCCCGGACCCCTCAGGTTGAAGGGGAACTAGATCTCGGAGAAAGCACTTTAACGCGGGAGGTGAGAAAAAGCCCCTTTCCAGGCCTAGAAAAATGCAACAGGTGTCTTTGGTCTGGATCCCTCCTTCTAACAGCAAAAGCCCCAGAAACCTGGGAAAAACTACTAGTAATATAATGACAAAACAAAAGTAAAATATACACCCCCCTCTATTTCCATGTACAAGACTTTGAAAAGGGTTTAGATTTTTTTTGGTAGTGGTGGTGGTATTTTTGGTTTGGGGTGGTGGGGTTTTTTTTGCTTTTTTTTTCTTTGTTAGCTGTGACTAATAGCTTCCTTTGAAAAGAAAAAAAAAACCCTCCCACATAGTTGCTCAACTTCAGCAAACAGTGCTAAGAAAAATCCCACGTGACTCAGAGGTTTTTGATAAAGGAGACAGCCGCTCCGAATTCCCTTCAGTATTTTGGTAGCAACAGGAGAGGCGCTTTGCCAAAACCCAACCTTCAGTTATTGGGCTTTTTATACTGAAATATGGAGTGGCTGTATAATAAAAGAATATACATTCATAAAAGTTAGCAGCAAAAGGCTGAATGAAAACTCTGCTGAATGAGATTGGACTTCTCCCATTAAATTGGCAGGGTGTTCTGTTCCTTCTGTTCAACTGTGGTTGCATGGTTAGTTAATTTATCTCATCTTTTTTCTCAGTTCTCTGCAAATGGATTTTGGTAGCCAATTAAAAAGTAGAAGTGTATTTATTGCCAGAGCAAAGCAGACACTGTAGTTACTGCACTTGGAGTTGTCCTGTGTTGTCAAGGTCATAAGCTATTTTCTGACACTTTAGAAGACCAAAAAAAAGAAAAAGAAGAACCTAAAATATTGCATGTCAGAGGAAGCTGGTAAAATTATCTTCGTCTGTTGTTTTATACAAGTAGATGGTTTATCTGAGGGCTGTGGCCGTGCATGTACAGATGCTGGGATAGCCTCCCTGGTCTTGCCCCCAAAGCCATCCAAACCAGCCACAGCGCAGGAAGGGAAGTACTGTGACCCTTGTTTTACCCATGGAGAACGGAAGCAAAGGAATCCAGACTGACTTATCCATTGGTAGGGAGCAGATCTGTCCCAGCTGAGAGTAACACTTGGACCTCCCAAGTCCTAAGGAAGGATGGAACAGCATGGCTTCTTCTCTGACTACAGAAGAAAAGCCTTAACAGTCAGCTGGTTTTTTTTCTTCTTCAAGTTTCTATTTACAGCAACCAGGATTTGCTGCATTTCCTAGATCTCAAAGCACGTGTTTCTGATAGTTATGGAGAAAAGAGGGAAAACTACCTCTGTGAGTTCCTGGCTTTTCGTTGTTGTAGCACCAGCAGTTTTTCTCCCACCTTCCTTCTTTTCCTCCGCAGCGCTTTTTTTATTCCCATGAAGATCGGTCTCACCTGGGGCTCCTGGTTGTGGACGTACAGAAGGGTCAGTCTTTCTGAAATGCGAAAGAGAGAGGACTTAGGAACCTGAGGGTCCCTTGCTGCTCTCTGAGCATCTTGTGAGGATGCGGCATGTGAACAGAGCAGTGCTGTGATGAAGCGACGTGCTTGCAGGCAGCTATCGTATCTCCAAATCAGGTAGGTGGAAGAATTAAATTAATGACTCATGGTGAGTAACTGACGTCCTGCTGTACAAGGGCACCCGTTGGTGAATCGGTGTAATCCAAACTCATTACCTGCTGCAACAACAGAGTTAGCATTTCCTGTGGTCTGCAGAGGGTATCGCGCAGGAGCCGTATCACGGGAGGCTTGATGAGCTGGGGCAAGCCTCAGGCTGGAGCTGGCCTCTGCCAGCATTGCGTGTACCTGCAGAAAGCCAACCTTTGCCTGCGCCTTTTGCCTGCAAGTCGAATGTGACAGTGGTTAACCACAGCCCCTGCAGGGAAGGCTCCAGCCTCTGGGTTCCTGGAAATGCCTTCTCCTCCGTGTCTGCCCACGGAGTCCTCCAGCTGAACGGTGCTTACCTGCCCTCCTTGCCTTGCTCTCTCGCTATCTGCTTTGCCCGTTGTGCCTGGATCTCTTCACAGATGGCCGCGTATGATTTATCTGAAGGATGCTCGCCCATCACCCAGACCCAGACATCGTTGTCAGCACCAAGCTTCCATGTCACCGACTTCCCGTTGGCTGGAAAAGAAGCAGCTCTTTGGCAAACGCTGTTTGCTCGGCAGCTCTGTGCAGGGCCTGTGTCCCACCTGCTGCGTCCTCCTGGCTGCTGCCGATGGCAGAACCTCTCCAGAATCAGCTGTGCGTGGGGAAAGCTCGGCTGGGACGCAGCATGCATCTGCCATTTTGTTTTATGGTACTGAAGCCAGATCAGTGAAGGAGGCATTTCTGAGTCTGGGGGCAAGGGAGAAGACTCACCACTGTTTCCCTTCTTGCTTTAATTCCTTGCCACTGCCCTCCCCAAACTGTGTGAGGGTAAACTACCTACAAACAGAGAACGTGGGGGAGAGCTGGGAGGAGAGTGCTAGCTTCCTAGCTGCCGGCATGCTGTGTAATGCTGGCAAGGGGACTTCAGGTCTAAAGGCACAATGGGAAGCCCCCTGCAGATCTGGTGCCCCAGGACAGACATTCAAGTCCATGGTTATTTTATAGACAGATTCAAGGGCCCCATTTAAGGGGAAACTTAATGAGATCATCTGCTGGGGGCAAGTAAGCCCTGCCTTCCCTGCTAGCGGAGTTGAGCAATTTGGTCAAGGGCAGAATGTCTGGGCCAGGGAGTAAAACCATTGTGTGCCTGGCCAAAACTACCCCATCACAGGTGGGTTTAGTTACAGTTTGGAAATACAACTATGATACATCCCTAGGAGAAAAAAATTACTCTATGGACACATTACCTCCTATTTCTTGGGAGCAGTTGCCTTGGCCAGATCTGTGCCAGAGGGGGAAGCAGCCGGCAGGTAGGGACTTACCTTTTCTCGGCAGTGGCTTCTTTGCTGAAGCCTTGTCCGCGGCAGCTTCTCTTTCCTCCCACCGTCTGATCTGTTCCTGCCTCATCTTGAAGAACAGGATCTGCTTCTGCTCCTCGCTGAGTTCTGCCAGCAGGTCAGGATCGATGTACATGTCCGATAATATCTGTTTCAGCATGGCTGGAGGTTTCAGTTACACACGTTTGTGGCAATGATCTCCAGGGATCAGATCCTCTTC